AAATGTTTTGAGAATGATGAGGGCAATGAATGTACAAATGCACTTTACACAATTGATGTGTGTATGGATTGTGATAAAAGTTGTATGAGCCCCTAATAAAATGATTTTAAAAAAAGAAGAAGATATAGACAAAGGGATTCAAAGAGGTGAACAATCAGAGTTTCTAATGCAAGGAGTCATGAGGATTTGAATCTCCCAAGGGAACGTATAAAGAATATATATTTTATATATTTTATTTAAAATCTGTTTTAACTAAACAATCTTTCACAATCTCTACATACATTTCTTGGGAATTTGGGGGAGGTGGGGACAGAAGGGGCCTTTTTCTTCCCCCACTTTTTTCTTTTTCTCCAGAAATCTGCAGACATTTGTATGGTTAAAGACAGGGAGTAGTTTTCATTGAATAATGTTTCAAAGAACTAGAACAGGGGTGGCAATTGATGAGAACCTTACTTAATACTCTCTAGGAGTAGTGATGTCAAAGGATACCCTTAATCTGAAAGCTTGGTTTTCATTCCCCAAAAGGACCCTTGTTCCCAACTTAGGAAAGAGGCCAAGAACTATGTGTACTGCCTCCCAAGCATGTGAAGCCTGTAGGTCAAACATTTCCAAAAGTTCTATTAATTCCTTCTGTTTACAATTTCTAACTAGGAATTTCTTTCTCATCCTTTCACAATTCAGGATTACAAATTTTTCCTTTTGGCATTCAAGCTTGTAATCAAGTTGACTATCTCTCAACACACTAGAACCTGAAGCACTAACCTCTGGTTTTGTAATGTAGTACTAGAGACCTCCATGGTTTAGCTAATTTGTTGGAGGAAGGTAAATCATACATGCTATTCTCTCTAACCCAACCCATCAGCAATATTTGAGACTTGTCTATGACACTGGTACTGTTTCATTTATTTATTTTTTATACTTTGTTCACTGGATTGTAAGCTCTCTTTGGGGAAGAAGCCAGGTCTTCTTCACTTTTGTATCCTTCTACACCTGGAATAGAGCCTTGTTTATAGTAAGAATTCAGCATCTAATAAATCATTCATGTGATAGAAGGAAACATGTGGTAGTATTCTAAATGCTTCAAGATTCCAAAATGCAACAACTAAATCTCAATTCCAAAGCAAAGCATCGCCAAGTACTCATCTCCCTCCAAGTCCTCATTTGAATTATACTCTTGGCAAGTCTGGACAAGAGAGGCGGAATCTAAAATCCCTGTGCCTTTCCTGTTTCATCATATGCCCTGGAGACTCCTGTATTTCATCTGGTTTATCTTTCTGATAGTTTCACCGGCCTGTCACTTTCGGTTTTATACTATCACTTCTACATCTTCTATTATGTTGGCCTCTCTCCATGAGCACCTCCTGACCCAGCAACCTGAATAACTTAAACTTCTTTGGGTGGCCAGAGAGGTGCATTAGGAATCTCACAAGTAGCATTCTTCTATATAGTCATCCCACTATCAAGTCTTATACAGACATACGTTTTTTCATTTGGGGGAGTATGAAAACCAGGACCGATGAACCTGTAGAGTCAGCAAGTGGAGTAAGGGTTTTGAGGGAAGGGGACACGGAGGCGGTGGCAGGGTGAAGGGGTGATGACGTCAAGGGGTCCATATAGAAAAAGAATGTTTGGACACTGATTGTGGTAGCAAACATACAATTCTGCTGGACGTGACTGAACCATGGAATGATTTGATATATGTATTAATCCCAATTAATTTAAAAAATAAAAATACTACTGATGACAACAAAGCCAACAGGTTTTTGTCATACCAGAATTAGTCATATTAATCCCGCTCGCTGTGTCTAGTCATGACCTTCCATTACCGGCAGGATCCATAGGCTTTAGCTTTAGTGGACCCTTCGCCACTTTTCCAGTTTCTCTCCGACTTCACCCTGGTCCTCACCTTGTATCTCACCAAGCCAAATGTAATTGTGCCTTTTGTACCTGTGATGTCCTCTGTCGAGAATACACCCTCTCTCATCTGCCTAGGCTGTCCCTACTCGCTCTTCCAGATTCAGATTAGATGTCATCTCTTCTAGTTATTCTCGCCTGCCCCTTCACACTTGGCGGAAATAAGGACAACTCTCTTTGCCACCTTATCACCTCAAAACAAAGAAACAAGTTCACTACCATTGAGTTGATGCTGACTTACAGAGACCCTATAGGGCAGGCAAGAACTGCCCCTGTGAGTTTCCGGGACCATAACTGTTTACAGGAATAGAAAGCGTCACCTTTCTCCCAAGGGGCAACTGGTGGTATCAAACTGCTGACTGTTAGGATCACAGCCCAACTCATAACCACTATACTACCAGGGCTCCTATTCTCAGTTGTGGTTTTTAACTCACTGTTTTCTGTTTTCATCACCTCCTTTTCCACTAGGCAAAGAGATCCTGTAAGGTTGTTGTATATCATTGGTATGTTGTTCCTAAAATGTAATATAGTTGTGTTAGTCACCTAATCTGGTGTCAATGTAAGGATTAAGAATGTAGGGGTGGAGTCTAGGCTGTCAATCTGGAGATAGCCAATGAGACTTCTGTGGGCATGGCCT